GACGTTGCGGGATAACAACTGCAACAACAGACTGACACTCACAGAGTGCTGGGTGGAAGGCTCACCCTTAAAGTCAGGCTGTTGTCCCCATACGAGCTCCTGAGCTCTAGGAAATGTTCAACTAGCTTTGCTAGATCTTCAGGAGCTTTGCCCATCTCCAGACCTTACTGTAGGCATGCCTCCAGGGATGCTGATCTGATCATTTATGGCCTTGTTCCCCTGTCTCCCAGGTAAGCCCTCTGAGGAGCAAGCATGAGCAGTTCAAGCCACTCACCCCAATTTTAGCGAGCTGCCCCACCACAGAGCCCACAGCACCAGCTGCAGCATTAACCAGCACTGTGTCTCCTGGCTTCATCTTGCAGACCTCCAGCAGACCAAAATACGCAGTGAGGCTGTGAAGAAAAAGAAAGAATTCTCAGTGAGTAATAAAAGACGCCAGACACAGAGATGTGACTTGACCGCATTGAACCAAAATACCACCACAACCAGAACACTATTGATTTTCCTCATTCTTTAAGAAACACAAAAATTAACACAAAAATTTATTTATTTGGCTTTTTTACAGCCATCCCAGAAAAAAACAGATACACTACTGGGAAACAGGATGCTGTGGCAGAAGTCTACCTTAGGTGAAAACAGCTTTCCTTGTGCTCACTAGCCAAAAGGAGAAACAGAGAGGTAACTCTGTAAGGTGACAACTCAGTTACACACTGGAAAAGAGAGTAAATACAAGCCAGAGGGAGGTCAGTAGCCAGCTGGTATCTACCAGATTGAGGCAAAGATTAAACAATACTCATCACAAATCAAAGCTGGCAGAAAGAATTAAAAATGGTGGCAAAACCTTGCTGAACTGATAGGCATACTGCTCCTGAGGACTACTGTGCACAGCTACGGCTACTGGGTGAATAGCAAACTGTAGGAACCACTAAAGTTTAGCTCAAGGATCATATAAACACTGAATGACATCAGGCTCTGCAAGCTTCCTGAAGCAACAGGATCAACTGGCCCAGAATCCCAACAAACTTCTAGATTTCTAGATTCAAGCTTAGAGCTTCCCACTCGGTACAAAGTGAAAGGATGAACTGAATGCATCTGGCAGCTGTCTGGGAAAACATGCATCTTGCCTGATGGCACAATGAAACCTGAGAAGTTCTACATCACACACAACGTTACAAACATTTTGAAAGCCTTCTGTGTCAACAGGACTGACCAAGTCCTGATGTCCCATACAAACTACAGAGAAAGAGAGAAGAAACGTGAGCAGATGGCTGAGAGACAGCAGTAGTGAATAGAGATTCTGAAGCACAGCAGCTCTGCCTGCTGCAGTGCAATTTAAAGGACCTCTATTTGGCTGCATGATGACAGCTGTCATTTGCCATTCTGGGGGCAATTCTGGAAACATGGTGATAACAGAAGAGCCCGATCAGCAAAAGCAGACTAGTCCAGGTGCCAGTGTCTTTCCTCTCTCACTGAGGCTAATTCAGATTGAACTGGATTCTTTCCAGCCCCTCCTGGATCTTCTTCCTATCCTATTACAATTCCTCAAGGAGAGGGACCATCATCTCCAAGGCAAATCTCTGATCTAGAGGATGGGCCAAACTTCAGGCCCTCTACAGGGTAAGGGCATCTGGAAGCACACACATTTTTTACCAGAGTGAGTGGACAACATTCTGGTTGAACAAGACGAGGGAAAAAGGTCATACAGATAGGCAAAAACATCCTTCACAGCAAAATCCCTTTGCATCCAAAACTCACCCTGGCATGCCAACTGTCCCAAGAGCCAGAGATCTGGGGAGTGATTCCGGCCAACTGGAAGGAAGGAGTTGTAGGTCTTTGCCAGAAGAGATAGAATGAGTTCTCCAGCCACTTCCAGCCACAACAAATGCCCCCACTTTAAAAGCGGGATTCTTGCTTTCTACAATCCTGTTTAAAAGAAGAAAAAACAAACAAACAAGAAAACCACCCTGTCAGAAACAAATCATTATTGACTCTTCCTTCCTTTATTCCTGTTGCCCTGTGATGCAGGAGAAAATAAATATTTAATGCCAAGACATTTATCCCATACCTGCTGATGCTGTAGGCTTTTGATGTATTTCCTGAAACGTGCACAATCTCTCATCATTGGGGGGTTACTGGGCAAGATGGTTCTAGACTCAGCCCTGCCCACAACAAATCCAATGTTCCCACATAGATGCCAACTCTTATTTGACTAGCACCAGTCTGGTATGAATTCAGACTAGGCTTCTGTGAGTTAGAAGGCAGGAAAGAGGATGCTGGGATTAAAGGGTGGAAAAGCAAGAAGTCACAGATAGGCTGTAAGGAGCAGTTCCCCTCTCAGACAACCTGCACCTCATTTAAAGGTTGAAGATCCTGGAGATGGAACCTTTTGTGGTAACAAAACCAGATAGAATGCAGTATCTAGTAACAGGAAGAAGTTCATACTTGTGGTGTCTCTATGCCAAAGGAAAATTCAACTTTCTCAGCCCAATGGGAATGGGAAGGGGTAGGTAAGCAGTTTTGAAATATTGCAAACAGTTGGCCTTCTGTTCAGCAGACTTGGTTGATAATTTATCCCAGCTCTCAGTATTCCTGCAGAGAAGCACAAGAGTCAAAGGCCACAGAGGTTCCTGGGCAGCAACTTAGAGAGAGCACAGGAGGAACAAGCTGAAAAAGGGAAACATCTGTGTAGCTAAATTACCACAAACTTGGGAAAGGATGGATTCAAGGTTAGATAACCCTTTGGCTAGAGCTGTATCTTAGGTGACACTGAGGTATTCTCAGCTGGAGTAGGTAGCATGCATGGTTTCAGGCATGCAGTTATGAGCATATCAGATTTTAAAATGTGAAGTTGACATTTATGGCAAGTGCAATGGTTGGTCCTTGATACGTCTGCTTGCAAAAGAAGTTCATTTGAGAACATTATCACCAGAAATAACATATAGATTGTATCAGAGGCCTGATGCTCTCCAAAAAGGCAAAAGAGGTTCTTAGAGGAAAAACACATTCCAACCAAGTACAGACAGGAATTCAGTTGCAGAAGTATGTAGACTCAAGTCTACATAGTTAATGCAGGCTGCAGAAGTCTCGAATGTCAGTACATTCCTTTGAGATCTGCCATGTGTATGGATAACAAGAACTGATGATCTTACCTGGCAACTTGCGTGCCTATCATTATGTCCCCCTCCTTCATGTCCCTTTGACTGTAAGGTCTGTAACACAGGCAGAGATTATTTACTGTAAGCAACTTTAATGATGTTCCAGATACACTATGAAGTAGTAGCTACTGTCTGACCCAGAAAGAGAGCATCAAGCATGATGTTGAACAGATTGTAAAGAGCTTGTCATTGTAATGACATAACTGGATGTTTTCAATATCCAGCTCCTTGAGCATCCCATCTTGCCCGAACACCTGGCTAGAGTGTTGAGGACACAATGGTATTAACCTTCCCAGCATGGTGCACCATTACAAGGAGGCTGAGACTCCAAAGAACTACCTATCTGCGACATTAGAAGCCACCCAAGTTCTTCGAACTACCCAGTTTCCCTGTGCATGAACTGCCACCTATCAACATGGGCATATCAGCAATTTCCTACTTAGAATATGTATCCTTAAGTATAAGGTTGCTAAGGTCAGTGAAGCAGCTACTGCAACAGGGCTGCAGTCTCCTTTGAGCCTCTTGCATTCCAGTGGAAGAGACATGACAAGGGCAACACCAGAGTCCAAGATAAGTTCAGGGCTGCAGCACTGTTATCCTAATGTCTGGCTAAATCTGGCACAGCTCCATATTGGGAATCCTGTAATTTACATACATTTCATAAAAAGCAGACAAAGGCATCTGGGATTCTGGTAGCAGGGGGTGCTCCCAGAAAATGTTCTTTTGAGGTTTAAGTGGGAAATCAAATAAAGTATCTTAGCCAGCAATTTAAAAAGAAGAAAAAGATATACCTCATGTAAGGATCAACACTGAGAAACACTGATTCAAGCAGCAACTCTGCAACAAAAGACAAAGCAAATTCCTGGGCATTAGCAGTCCAGTAAAGTATAGTTTCCACAAGTCAGTCTTTCAACAAAAGCAATAGGAATTCCTGACGGCTCAAAACCCCCATATCCCATCATCCTTTAGGGAAACTACCAGAAAAGACTACTACATTCATTAGCTTTGTTTGGATTATCGCTGTGGTCTTACAAAAGACACTTCCTATAGTGTCTCTTTAGGAGGCTACCTTATTTTCAACCTTGTTTTTCTTTATCTGCCTCCTGTCTCTACAGAAGGCTCAGGAGGCCAGACCCCCTCAGCAAAATACCAAGTTATTTTGGACCCATAGACCAAAAACCACCAAGTTATTTTGGACCCATAGACCAAAAACCACCAAGTTATTTTGGACCCATAGACCAAAAACCACCAAGTTATTTTGGACCCATAGACCAAACGCCTTTCCGAGGTTCAACCAGCAGAGGGTGGTAAGAAACCGTGGCAAGGATCAAATATAAACACACTGCTTAAACAGAAAGCATCAGGCTGTCTTTTCTAGGTAGCCTAATCCAACTTACTGTCTCTAATGATGCTAGTTCTTCTGAAATATACTGTTAAACAAATTTTAATTTAAATTCTCATTTAAACTGCAGTTTTAGCTGTTCAAGTCCACTTAATAATACTTTTCTTGCCTGTGCTGCAGTGATCTAACTAGTACAAGCTAGAAAAATATTCAGATATATACTCAAGAGTGAGCTCAAGAGGAACAAGGAACAGTCAAGGCCATGTAACATAACAGGAAAGGTCACTTCTTTAAAAGTGATAACTCTAGTAGCCTCTTATTGCTGTAGGGATTAAAATGGGAAGAAGGAAATGACTTGGTGTTCTTAAATACCGACAAGCATGAAATTAAGTGTGCCTGAATGCTATAGAAGTACACATGCTATGAAAACGCTTGAAACTATATGTACAAAGAAATAACTTTTAAACCTTTAAGTTGTAAACAAAACTAGTACTTTAATGCAATTTCTTTGGTGTACCTTCTAAACTGGACTAAATTTTGTAAAGGACAAGTGGTGGGGTGAGGTTCAAGACAGCATGGTACAGATGTCCATGTGAAGCCAAAAATCAAGGTTCATTCTTTTATCAACAGCTCTTGCATAAAACAAGTCATCATATTCCCTACAAAACTTTTCAAAACAGAGAAACACAGGAATACAACCTGTGCATTTTTTTATCTTTTTATTCACTCTCTCTCTATGTCACAACAGGTCAAATATAACAGATAAGTACTGAGAAAAAAAAAAAAGGTGTTGAATGCAGACAGAAGTCTTGCCTTGCTGCTTCTTGAACTTAAACACCAGCCTGCACTGATGTATTTGGTCTGGCTGAGATGGAGTTAACTTTCCCCACAGCAGCTCTCACAGTGCTGTGTTTGGTATTGGCAGCTAGAAAGGTGCTGATAACACACCAGCGTTTTGGTTACTGCCGAGCAGTGATCCCACAGCATCCAGGCTGGCTCTCCAACATTTCCCATCCCCAGTAGGCTGGGAGTGGGGAAGGTCTTGGGAGGGGACACAGACAGGACAGCTGACCCAGACTGACCAAAGGGATATTCCACACTGTACGACGTCTGCTCAGAAATAAAAGCAAGGGGAGGAGAATCATAGAACCAAAGAATGGTTTGGGTTAGAAAGGACCTTAAAGCTCATTCAGTTCCAACCCCCCTGCCATCAGCAGGGACACCTTCCACTAGACCAGGGTGCTCAAAGCCTCAGAAGAAGGGAGGGAGAAGGGGGGCATCCTTTATTTACAGCGTTTGTGTTCTAGAGCAACCACTCCATGTACTGAAGCCCAGCTTCCTGGGAAGGGGCTGGACATCCCTGCTGATGGGAAGCAGAGAATAAATATTTTGTTCTTCCTTTGTTTCCGTGCCTGGCCCTTGCTTTCTGCTTCTCTTAAACTGCCTTTATCTTGACCCACAAGTTCTATTTTCCTTTTTTTTCCCCCATCTATTTTCTCCCCTCCCTGTCCTGCTGAGGAGGGGGGTGACAGAGCGGCTTGGTGGGCACCTGGCATCCAGCCACCACAACTGACTCCAGCCTCAAGGCCTCCCAGCTGCAGGCTCACTCTCACCTCAGTTACTGTGCTCTACCCCAGCAATATCAGCATGAAAACACTTCCTCATCAGCATGAAAACTCCAGTGAAAACCCACTCTCAGGGGCTACCAACTTCTCCAGCTTTCTCCAAAGGATTTTGCAAAATAAAGTAGATTAAAACTTTTTATCAGTAAAGCATGTTTGGGTTTTACTACAGTTATCTCATTTGTTCTGTGTCACAGTTCAGTTCTCTCTAAGTTAAAGGAATTCTGTTTCCTTGTGGCTGTCAGTTTTGAGGGTGTATCACTTCAGTAATTTTCTCCCGTAAGCTTAATTTGCAAACACAGTCAAAAGCCTCTGCCACCAGGCACCATGTGTGATTAGGCAGCGTGAGACTGTGAAAGGCACGCTGTAGCTGCTGTGTGCTGGAGTTAGAAGATCTCAGCCACTGTTTCTAAGGGTATTATCAGAAGGCAGCATGTCTTAAAATCCACCAAACCCATCAGCATGCATGTTCTTGAGCAATTGCCCTTCTCTGCTAAGGTGCATGGCTTGCCACAAGCCATGCCAACCTATTTTGTAAAACCCAAGCCACAGAAACATACAAACAGTTCCACAGATGCACAGTCATTCACCAGCAACCGGACAGCCTCTGGAAAAAATAAAAACAGGTGATACTCTACTTACCTCCATCCTTTAGGTCTGGCAGCTCTATCTTTTTCAGCTCAAAGTCACTGTTTTTGGGGAAACCCTCAAAATGCTTCTTCAGAACCCATGCCTTGGCAGTCACCATCCTGTACAACAAAAAGCACAGCCAAAGAGCTCCTGTCAAAGAGATGTCCAGCAGTGCTGGACTGCTCATGGGGGCTGGTTTAGGCTTTATAAAGCTGAAAAGTATCTTGATAATGTGCCATCACACAAGACAGCCTCTGCTTGCATCCTGTAGCAATATCCTGGAATCAAGAAAATGTCTGAAAAGCCCCCTCACTGCCTAAGGAACCCAGAGCTTCCTGACCTGCTGGACTTCCCTGCCTGCTGCCAGCAAGCCCTGCTATGGGAAGTCAGCCCCAGCAAGATGTACAGCTCCCAGGGTAAAGAAATTGAAGAGGGAAAATCTACTAGTTTAAGGAGAAAAAAAAAAAAATCCTGTAAGGAAAGAAAATAAAACACTTGAACTCATTCTTTTGCCCTGATCACATGGGGTGAGTACTGAACCTGAACTGTTACAAGATTGAGCAAAAGTGCAAGTGAGAAATACAAAGTTAAGTAAGACCTCTTTCTGTCACACCCCATATGTTGAAAGAAAATGCTTCTCCAGTTGCCAAGCTCAGGGATTGGAACTGGGAGCACACTGTCACTGGCATTTTCCATACAAGATGGAAACAAATGACTGCATGCATTGTACCCTCACAGCCCCTTTTTCCTTCCTATAAGCAAGCACACCAACAAGGGTAAAGAAACAGAAGTTTATACTTAGAGCAGGCAGGTGGAAAACTGCGTCTTCTGCTGACAAAGCCAGTCAATCACCTTCTGTACCCGACTCAGTTGGTGGCTGGACTCCTTCAATCACACATGCCTTCTAAAAGGCTGAGATATCTGCTTTTATCGACAGAGAGGTACCACCCTTAGTCCACTTCCCCAGGAGCAAGTGTAAACCCGCAGCAAATCTCGCACAGGGCACACCCAGCGTGACTGAACTTTCTCCTGTTAGGATTTGAGATCATTCCTACAGACCGCTCCAGTTCAGCGCCCAGCCAGTTGCACAGGAATGTTCTGAAATACGCCAAGCTAAATACACAAACCCCACGGTCCTAGAAACCACAAAATACTGCAGTCTGGAGACCAAGATTATCCCTTGGAGCAAGAGTTTCTTCAAATCACATTTTACTGCCAGCCCTAAAACTCTTCAATTAAAGAGTTCTGCCACTGAGGAAAAAAATATCTAATTAAAGTTCACTGTTCAATCCATAACTGAACACAGCAAATGATCCATCTGAATGCCAGTATCATATGGGAACACTATCATGACACCTACATCATGAGATGCCTGCAGGCTCCCCAAAGGACATCCGTACCCACACGTGTGCTCTGACACCTTCACTGTTCCCAGTGCATGTGCCAAGGGATCAGAGCCTGTGTAGCTGTGCCTCTGCACGCTGGGACCTCTCTGCATTGCAGAACCACCTTAAGAAAGAGTAGTAAACTCTGGCATTTTGTCTCAACTGTGTTGCAACAAGGCATGGCATGGGCGGAAACCCTCCAGGGACTGACTATGTGCCTTCAGATTTTATTTTCTTCTCTTGTGAAAATGTTCAAGTAGAATATGAAGGGTGGAAAGTGTAGAGAGACCAATATGTAGTGGCATGTTTAACTATAAAACACCTGAAGACAAAAGTAGTAATTAGGAACAGAGACCTAAGAAAATAAACAAAACTTTTTAAACAGACACAAGCAAGGGCCTGGGAGAACAGGGCAATCTTCCCATTATTTATACAAAAGCAAAAGCCACCATTCCCAGAAACTCATCAGCACTCAGCAACCTTCTGTGATGAACTTGGGATATTTCTAGTTCCTCGGTGAGAAACAAATACAGCACAGGTGAAGGGTTCGTGCTTTAGGAGCGTGTGCTGGGGAAATCACCTGTATCAGGACACAAAATGAAAGAAGGATCATCAAGCTCATTGTCAAAGCATCATCCCACGTTCGTTAAGTGAGCAGCCAAAACCAGCAATCCTCACATCCCACATACAATCACAAGAACAAAGGTCACAGAAAACTTATCTGCAGCAATTTCCACCTGACTCACAAACGTTTTTTCTTAAAATAAAAAATTAAAAATTAAAAAGACAATACAACAACAAAAACCCCACGAAAAAACCCAGGAGGCACTCCTCCCCTGGCATTTCCATCTGATGCTGCATTTGCTTTGGTATAAACGGTGCTTACCTGGACTTTTTGGTGACAAAAGACAGCGCGACACTGCAGCAACAAGACAGCAAGCTCAGCAAAGGTGCTTGCAGGAGCAAAAGGTGAGTTCAGAGTAACACAAAACTGGTCCCACCCACCCGCTGATACCCACAAGCACGGGGAGGTGCTTGTCCTGGCCGTGTGCCTGCACGGGTACCCCGGGGATGGCCGGGGACGCGGGAGGCTGGCGAGCTTGAAGTGCTGTTTGTAGCCCCGGGGAGCAAACAGTGACTCAGAGACGCTTTTGTCTCCGTCCCGTCCCACCTCCGTGAGTCACTCCCTGCTTTTTGTCCCTGGTCACTCCCTGCTTTTTGTCCCCGGTCCGTGTGCTCTGGGCTCCAGCCCTCTTCTTTACATCCCCACGTCACCTCTCAATAGCGTGAGTCGGCTTCACTCTGAGCACAGGAACGTGTTGCCCCTTGTTTTAGGCTGTCCTTTCTTTCCCCATCTGATCCGGTAAGAAGCTGCACAAAGACGTGCTGTAATCCTCATGATTTCCAAAATCTAGGTGCCACCAGTACTGGCCATTTCTGTCTCTTTTTCTGCTGTTCCTTTCGGTGCTTCCACACTCAGACTCCCCATTCACACCAATCTCCACATTCGAATCAAAAATTTCTGCTTTTTGTGATATATCGATTTTTCAGCAGAGCAATGATCCCTCCTACAAACAGCGCTGAAAGATTAATTTCACTGAACTATTTTTATTATGTTTAGGCTTACTGCTTGAGAGAGTCCAGCACAGAGCCACCAAGATGATTAAGGGAGTGGAGTGGAGCACCTCCCTTCTGAGGAAAGGCTGAGGGAGCTGGGTCTCTTTAGCTTGGAGAAGAGGAGACTGAGGGGAGACCTCATTAATGTTTATAAATATGTAAAGGGCGAATGTCATGAGGATGGAGCCAGGCTGTTCTCAGTGCTGTCCAATGATAGGACAAGGGGCAATGGGTGTGAGCTGGAACACAGGAGGTTCCGCTTAAACTTGAGAAGAAAATTCTTTACAGTGAGGGTGACAGAGCCCTGGGACAGGCTGCCCAGGGAGGTTGTGGAGTCTCCTTCTCTGGAGACATTCAAGACCCGCCTGGACACTTTCCTGTGTGATCTCATTTAGGTTCCTGCTCCGGCAGGGGGATTGGACTAGATGATCTTTCGGGGTCCCTTCCAATCCCCAACATTCTGTGATTCTGTGATTAACTTTGGGAACACAACAAAATTTCTGGTGATCACTTCTCACCTTCTACTGAAATTGCATTACAGCCACTTCAAGGCTAGAGATGTTTTCTGTAGGCTGTAAAACAAAAAGCCACAAACCAAATAAACAGAAAACAGAACACAGACACGTGCTTGATGAATAGATTCACAAACCAATTTCCAGGTTAACAAACCAAGATTATTTGGTATGCTTAGATATAAAATCATAAGGACTGGTAAGGACTATGTTGCTTAAGCATATTAAAGAATTCTAAGCATCAACAGCAGTGACGACACATTTGTGGGGGTCCAGTGAAAGCATTGCTGGACTAAGCATGCAATAGCCACCATCTCAGGTCTAAAAGCAGTAACCACTGTGCTATAAAACTATTCTGTTGTCAGTGTCAGTGGGTTTGAATAATACACTCCTTAAGGCTGTGTATTTTCTGCATAAAGTGTTTCATAGACCATTATAATCATTACTGCAAAGAGGCAGCTATGATAAAAACTTGAGAAAGGATAGCCCATTAAGGTGATGAAAAGACTCTTTTAAAAATAATTCATTTCTAGGAAGTCCCAGGAAAAAAAAATAAGGTGGTGCATTCCCGCTTGATATTCTTGCAAAAGACCCATTACAACTTTTACTGAAATTGAAGTCCAGAACAACATTTATTCTGATGTCCTTCAAACCTTCCTTGTCGTGATCTAGCCCATCAAGTTAGCAAAGAATAAAGTTTTATATTAATCTCTATCAACTTTTTCCAGAAAATTGGACAGCTAGGAAAGAAGAAATGGATTAGGGAACCTCAGCTTTGTGTACTGACAATATACATATGAAACCAAAGATCAGCTAGTGCAAACTGTAGCAGAGCTGCAGACAAAGCACCTTCACACAGGTTATCGCAGCTCAATCCCCAAAATCAGCATAGGGAAGGAACTTCACAATTCAGGGGAAAATGGGAGAGAAGAAGGAGAAGGTGAAAACTGGGACCCCACAGTAAACACTTAGCAACTGGAAAAGAAAGTCAGGAATAAAAAAACAGACGACAGACAAGTCCTAAAAAACTGAGTTTGACTGGAGGCTGAGGAACTGGTAGCGGTACCTGAAATCTGGGTATCTTTACATTAAAGTAGAGGAGTAGTAAAGCTCTCAAGGGACCATGAGTCAAATCAGCAAAGCTTACTTTTCTTAAGTAACCCCAGCTAACACTCATATCTTGTGTGGCATGATTTCCTAGCCTGGGCTTGCCCAAATCTAACCTTGAGGACAAAACTGACTTAGAAACCTGTCAGTTACAAATAAGTTAAATTCAAATTTGGGGTTAGCCTAACAGTTCATCTTGCTGCCAGTCACAATTAATTTGCAGATACAGCTGTGGTACTTGTTTCCTTTTATCTCCATTCTGAAGCAGGAACACTATGCTCCCAGCTACACTGGGAGAGAAGTGTATGATTAAAAGCTGAGTAAAGTATATCTCTCAGAGATAATGAGTTTGTAAATCGGTGCTGAGGAAAAAAACACCAATCACCACAACACCAAAGTTGACCAGGAAATCATCACCTCATCTAGTCCCTTCCTTCACATCAAATTTACATAGTCTCCTGCAGTATTTCAAAGCAACCTGTCAGGCACTAGCATAA